GTTGTGGGCCTTCACTTGACCTGGGGACAGAGATCCTCTTCTCCTCTGGCCAGTTCCCCCCCCCTCCCACCCCAGTAGGATCTCCCTCTGACCCCTACGGCCCAGGGGTCCTAGGAGGCTCCCTGGTAAACCCAGCTCCACTCCTTCTACCCAAGGGGACACAGCATTCACCCTTCTGGGAGCGATAAGGTTCCCTGCACAGAGCCACCCTGACCCCAGGCCCTTCGGAATAGGCTGTGGATGGAGTCGTCCCATCGGCTGGGTGTCGGCCTGGAGAAACCCAGAGAGGTCGCCAAAGCCCATAGCAGAACAGGGAGACCAGGCCCATGGCCCCGGCCCAGCCCCAGGACACGTTGCCGAAGTCCCCTGCACCGGCCAGCCAGCTCTGCCTCTCCTGGAAAAGGAGAAGGCCTCATTGTTCCGATTCCTGGATCCCTGGCGACTGAGGTCTGGGGCGTGTCCTCGTAAAGGTTCAGTAAATCCCTCTGTGGGGAGAGTCCTCATCCCAAGGGACAAAGGGTTTGTGTTGAATCTTCCCAGTGTGGGCTCGGGGCCAGGGTGACGGTGGGTACAGGGAGGACCTCGCAGCCCATAACCCACTTCCCCAAGATGGTGCAAGAGTGTACACCCATACAGGCAGAGCCTGTGTAGAGCCAGGTAACCTAGCACCTGTGTGTATGGGGCGTGTGGTAGTTAAAGTTCTGTATCAACCTGGCTGGGCCCGGTGTTGAGTGGCTGGGCAGGTAGACGTAGTTATTCCCCGTGATGAGACTGGCAGTCAGCTCCATGTGGAATCTGCTGTGAGCAGCTGAGTGGCTGCCTTAGGGATATGATCTGCTCCCAGTATAAAAGGAGAAGCTTCAGGCCTGGTCTCTAGCTTTCGGTGCACTTGAATCCTGCATGTAGCCGAGTCGTTATTCAGCAGCCGGCCACGTTGTCTGCTGATTGTGGGACCCTTAATGGACTCGACTCAATGGCCTGCCACGTGGTTTGGTAACATCGGGACTGTGCCTTTTAACTGTCCACCTTGGGTTTGTCAGCCTCAGCAGCCAGCAGCTGCCTGAGTAAGAGACGTCTCCAGCTCCAGTGGGCCGGAAGCAAGAGGCAGAGCTGAAGCCCAAGGTCGAGGGGCTTTCTCCCAGCCCCTAGAGCCTGGCACTTTGAACTCGGACTTCTAGTCTTCAAACCTGTAAGAGAATAAAGCCCTGTTTGTGAAAGCCACCCATTTGTGGCATTTTCTGCCAGAGTGTCACTAGGTGGGTGACCAGGGTGCACGTGTGTGAGTGTGTGTGTGTGCACATGTTTCCCTGCACGTATGTGGATGGGCATCTGTTGCACAGGGACATGTGCACACAGTGTAGATGTCCCTTCATCCATGTGTTTGGCCAGACCCGTGATGGTTCCCTCTTCTTGCTCGCCCTGCCCCAGTGGTGTTTCCCGGAGTCTCAGCCCAAACAGACCCTCCCTTAGACTCCCGCTCGCCAGCCTGGAACTGGCCTGAAACCCACGGACGTAACTCCAGCTTGTGGCCTGGAACACGGGCCCCCTCTGTGCTGCCTCCTGGGCTCCTTCCTCCAGGATTTGCTTGCCCAGGGCTCGGCTCTTGCCTTTCCACCTCCGTTGGGGCTCCTTCTGGGGCCTCAGGGGTCCTGCCTGCAGCGCTGCCCCCCTGCTCTCTGCCTGCTTCCTGGACCCAGCCTTGCTGCTCTGCCAGACATGGGGCGCTGGGAGGGTGAGGACGTTGGTGGGCAGTGCGGTCCCAGCCGGGGTGTCTCCGTCTCTGCACCGGGAGGTCCAGGACAGCCTAAGTTTGAACACTGCTCTGCAAGGGGAACAGGGGGTGGGGCAGGACAAAAGGGTCATCTGGGGAGACTAGAAGCATCCTCTGAAGCCCGACTCGCTGCAAAAGGTTGGTTTATAAATGGAACCCTTAAGGCATTTGACTGCTAACCAGAGGGCTGGCGGTTCAAACCCACCAGCCACTCCTCGGAAGGACGGTGGGGCAATTTACTTCCGTAGAGACACTGCCTTGGAAACCCAAGGAGGGGTCGCTATGAGTCGGGCCCGACTTGATGGCAGTGGGTTTAGAACCCCCACTGGGAGCCCCCCGGGTGGTACAAACGGTTACCTGCTCAGCAAATAACCAAAAGGTGGATGGTTCAAACCTAACAAGGGGCTCCTAGGGAAGGCCTGGAGCGCTTCTCCCAAAGCGCCACAGCCGTGAGAACCCTCCGGAGCCGCTCCGCCCTGCATAGACCGGATCTCCCGGAGTCGGAACTGGCTTGACGGCTAACAACTGCCGGAAAGACCCAGCGCACGGACAGGGATGCTCTGGTCTGGGATAGAGATCTGTTGGGACCAGGGGCCAGCAAACGTGCTCTGTTTGGGGCCAGGGAGCACGCACATCAGCCTTTGTGGGCCACTCAGTCGCGTCTCAGTGCCACGCTGGGGAAAGCAGCCGGGAGATGACACGGAGCAGTGAGTGAGCCTGTTACTTGTCGACCCTGAAACCTGAAGTGCATTCGAACCAACCAGGCGCTCTGTGGAAGAAAAATGCTTCCATGAAGATGGACAGATCTGGAAACCCTGTGGGGCAGTTCCACTCTGTCCTCTAGGGGCGCTGTGGGTCAGAATGGACTCCAGGCAGTGGGTGTGGTTTGGGCTTTGCTTCTGTGAAGAT